AAAACCCTCAGGTGTAGTGGTGGAACAAACAACTTGCTAATCGCCGACAGCCTAACTCAGTGGTTGGCAAACTGCAGCCCCTTGAGTTTGGCTCTTCCACAAAATACCATGTGCAGGCGCGCACATACAGTGTGTTTGAAACTTCATGGCCACACTCAAGGGGCCAAAGAGCTGCATGTGGCTCACGAGCCACAGTTTGCCGACCACTGGCATAACTGGCAAGAGAGCCAGCCTCAGCTTTGCAACTCTTCTTTTCACTCTAGTTTCATCCATGCTGAAGGTCTGGACACTCCTCACCTCACCCTTCCTCCTGCCTCAGTTCACTCATCTGCCATGTGGGGAAGCACATGGGATCTTTCTAAGAGGGGATGTGTTGAGACAGCAGTGACCATCACAAGGCAGATAGTCATCAAGGGCCATTTTCTCATCTGTCTGCTGTATGAGGGACTTGGCCTGGTGGTGTCTGAGGCCTGACTTCTAAGGTCCCCAATCTGAGATGGAACAGGTGGCTGACAGCTATGGAATAGATAATGGGAATGGTAGCCATGGAATTCTCAAATCAGAAGTTTGGCACCAGACTTGGCCTTGCTCTATTGGTTTCTCTAAGGCAGTGGTTCTCAACCTTCCTAATGCCGCAACCCTTTAATATAGTTCCTCATGTTGTGGTGACTCCCAATTTCATTGTTACAAATTGAACATAATTAAAGCATAGTGATTAATCACAAAAACAATATGTAATTATATATGTGTTTTCCGATGGTCTTAGGTGACCCCTGCGAAAGGGTTGTTCGACCCCCAAAAGGCTTGCGACTCACAGGTTGAGAACTGCTGCTTTAAGGCAAAGCAGGTCCTATAGGGGCACCTATTTAAAGAACGCAAAACAAGTAAGATATTTCACAATGGCTTCCATTTTTTAAAGTGACTGCTACTTACAAAAGCATTTTGGAGGAGACTATGTTGGTTGTGAGCAGGCCAGAGCAATTCCTTGTTTTGTTAACTCCCTTGTCTAAGATATCTTTAGGTAAATTCCCATCATTAGGTACCCCCATCCTCCCATAACCACATCAAAATTACAACTTAACTACAGAGCAACCATCACTCAGAACCATCTGAAATCTAGCAGAATGGAAATTCTACAAGAAGGGATTTAAAGAAGAAGCTACATCAAGACTGGTAGGAGGGGCAGAGACTCAAAACAGGCTGGTTCCACATCCAGTTGTGTTGACTAAAAACCAGGAGGAATATTTCCTGTGGAGGTCCTGCCTGAGAAGCTAGGGGTCCCAGCCCCACACCAGGCCCCCCATCCCAATTTCAGGTCCAGGAGGAGAAGTCCTCTTAACTTCTGGCTGTAAAAACAAGGAGGGATTGTGGCTGAATGAGACAGAGGTTGCTGGAGTCCCAGGCAGTTCCTCTTAAAGGAACTGCACATGGGTGTACTCAGATTCACTCTCTGAGCTCCAGCACCAGGCAGCAGCTCAAAAAGGACCAGGGGCATATGGGGAGGGACTGAATTGTCTGGCTTTAGGGCAAGGGCTGGGAAGGGGGCAGCTTTCTCCAAGACAAAAGTGCTGGAAGAGGCCATAGTTCCTTTTCTGGACTCTCCCCACTACTTCTCCAGAGCCAGCAGGTAGCACCATATCTGAGTCTCCATCAACCAGGCTCACACTGTTTGCCCTGCCCTAGTGATTCTGTGAGACCCCACCCCATCCCACTCAGCCTGCAGGCCCACCCAAGCTGTTTCCAGTGGCTTTCCATGCAAATGACCTGTCTTGGCTCATGCTTCAGACTTTCCTAAAAGCTCTCAAACAAGCAGCATCTGGCTTCAGCATACCCTGTATCTCATAGTAAGTGGCCCAGGCCTGGCACTAGCAGGAGCTGGCCTTGATTTGCAGCTTGGCCTTGCTTGGGCACCTCCAAACTCAGCATAAATAGCAGCCAACTCCAGATCGCTTTGTAGTCATGATGGATGGCCCTGGACAGAACATTGGTGGTGGCTGACCTTGGCCTGCACCTTTAGGGAGGCCCCATAACCAGGCACCTGATTGACAGCTTCAGATTATGTCAAAGCACCACCCAAATACCTCCACAAGTGACACACTCAATGGGCAGGCACTAGGTCCCAGAGGAGGCCTGCAGAAGTAAGTCCTTCTTTGTGGGGTGGGCCCTGCACAGCTCATCCTCCACATGGTCAATGTTTGGAGGTTGTTGGTCATAGCCTGTCCTTGTAACCCTCCTATTGATGTGCCAACAGCAACCAAGTCTCAACTACAACAGGAGGGTGTGCACAACCCACATGTCACCCAATGCCCAGCTTGGGTGATCTGGTAGGCTGTGCCTCTGGATCCTACAGAACACCTATTATATTAGGCCACTCTATCAAGCCTGGGAGATGTAGCAGTTCTACCTAATACAAAGAAACAAACACTGGAATGGTGCCAAAATGCAGAGACAAAAAAATAAATTGTCCCAAATGAAAGAATAGAACAAAACTCCAAAAAGAACTAAACAAAATATAGACAAGTAATGTAATTGATGCAAAGTTCAAAACACTAGTTATAAGGATGCTCAATGAACTTAGTGAGAACTTCAACAGCATAGAAAAAGGACACGGAAACCATAAGAAATAACCAGTCAGAAATGAATGATACACTAACTGAAATGAAGAAAAATTTTCAGGAAATCAACAGTACAATTGATTAAGGTCAGAATCAAATCAGTGGTTTGGAGATAATAAAGCAAAAAACACCCCATCATAACAGCAAAAAGAAAAAATAATCCCCCTAAGTGAGGATAATGTAGGAAGCTTCTGGGACAACTTGAAGCATACCAACATTTGCACCATGGGGTTGTGGAAAGAAAAGAGAGAGAACAAGAAATTGAAAAGCTATTTGAAAAAAAAAAAGAATGATGGGAAAATTCCCTAACCTGGTGAAGAGAATAGACTTGCAAGTCCAGGAAATGCAGAGAGTACCAAACAAGATGAACACAAAGAAGGACACACTAAGGCATGTCATAATTAAAATGCCAAAGGTTAAAGACAAAGAGAGACTCTTAAAAGCAGCAAGAGAAAAGCACTTAGTTATCTGCAAGGGAGCACCCATAAAACTGTCATCTGATTTCTCAGCAGAAAACAGAAACTTTGGAATACATTATTAGAAGCCAGGAAATAAACCACTGAAAAGGGTTTTGTTTTTTTTTTGTTTGTTTGTTTTTTATCTTAGGCTTCATTTCATCTGAAGAGTATTACAGGCTCTCCGTCCTCTGGTATAACTTATAACGTTACAGAACAAGCAGTGAATTCAACCATTTAAAAACTAAGTAAGTCTACACGTTGTTACTGTCCGGTGTCCTAAAGGAGTCACCCGCCCCATTTCAGCAGACGTGCACCATGCCATGCAGTGGTTCTCAACCTGTGGGTCGCGACCATCAGAAAACACATATAGCATATCAGATATTTACATTACGATTCATAACAGTAGCAAAACTACAGTTATGGAGTAGCAACGAAAATAATTTTACGGTTGGGGGTCATCACAACATGAGGAACTGTATCAAAGGGTTAGGACGGTTGAGAACCACTGCGAGGAACATCCAGAACAGGACGTAGGTGAAGGGGCCTCCGACGAGGCCTCCTGTGAAGAGAGGTCTTCGGGACTTAAAAGTATCTGTTCCACCTCCTGCCCGCCTTGAGGATGAGGAGCAGGGAGAGCAGGATGGAGGCGAGCAGGTAGAGGACGGTGAGGCCAAGGATGCCGGCCATGGCCCCGGCGCCAACACCGAGGTCCAGGACCGTGGCATTGCCTCGCACGGCTGCCTCACTGATGAACGGCGGCCCTTCCCGCTTGGCCACCACTGGGGCCATCGCAGCCCTGGCGCTCGGCCTCTGCTTTCCCGTGGAGCTGGAACAGGGTCGCAGTCCCTTGGCGTCCACAGTTGGCGGTACAGACCCCCCGCAGCGCCATCTTGCCCCAGAGCCTGCTGGGAGGGCCCAGGCTGCGCAGGCGTCAAGCCCTCGCTCCCGCCCTCTAGCGCATGCGCCGCGGGACACCCTGAACAGGATTCTTGATAACTGATCCTCACACAGGGCCTGCAATAGCGACCTTTACTGTCAGCCAGACTAGAAAACCTCTAGATGCACAGGCATTGAATCATATACGTGGAAGGGTCTTGCTGCAGTAGTAAGGAACAGTTAATTAACCATACAACATGGTATAACATTATTTGGCCATGTACCATCACAGGGAACGGCCCTGTTTATTTCAATCAAATCTTAAAAAGGACTCCAAAGAATCAAACTCTTTCCAAGCAACATAACAGTATCCAAAAAAGGCAAATAGTATTTGTAAAAAAGGAAATGGATAGTGAACAACACATGGGTTTTAAATAAAGGCAGGATCAGTAGTAGAGTGCTGATCTACCCTTTGCCCTCGGGCTTTAATATGGCACTGTTTTTCTGATTATTGTTGAAAATGTTACCTTAAAAGATCATTGATCTTGATTTCTGAGGGGTTTTTGGGTGCCACGTTAAGTTGTATACCCAATGCCTCACTCACCTCACCCATATTTGAGCAAATATCAAAACCTGAGGGCTGTGAGTAATAAGAAAAAAAACACACCTCTCACAAGCTCCCGCCTTTCAATTCCTAGCTATAATTTACCCAGGAGAAATGAAAGTACTTGTATGAAGATATGAACACTTGAAATATCCGTGGCCCCTTGATTTCCAAATAGCCTCAAACTGGAATCAATCCAAAAGTCCATCAAAAGATGAATGGGTAGCTGAACTGTGGTGTGCCCATACACGGGAACAGTTCTCTACCACAAACAGGAATGCAACCTTGCAGGCCATCCCGGGACAATGCAGGCTGTGCAGGGGCGCGTGCTCACCCGCCTCGGGAAAGAATAAGAGCGCGGCCGGCAACCGGCAACGGTCTCCTAGCGACTGAGCGGCAGGGACAACAAACTACTGAGGCCCCGGGTCGCCCTGAGTCAAGGGCGCCATGGCGGGCCAGCAGTGGCCCTTACCGGAGCCCCACAAAAGGTGGCTGTTAAAGTCGGACCTGAGGAAGAAGGCGCTCATAGAGTCGGGGCTGATCAAGCCGTGGCAGTCAGGGCCGAAGCTGGACAAGAAGCCAGAGCCCAGCAAGAAGTGGCTGCTAGGGCCGGGGCCGCTGGAACCCTTGCCCCTAGGCATGAAATGTAAGCCCTGGTTCAAGGACAGGGACAAGTTGCCTTCCTGCTATTTCTCCAGGCAGAACAACAAGCTTGGGAAGTGCCCCACCTCCATGGACAGCCGGAGGTGGGTATTTGTGAAGGAGGGAGTGGATGACTTCAGAACGGGCTGTCCATCTACTGAAGATGTGATCATTCGTGGCCCTCAGGAGGGCTTTCTCCCCATGATTGCTCATAGAATTCCTCGCCCTCCGCCCAAAAAATTTCACAGGCAGCCGCCCAAGGGAGCAGACCTGTGTTCCAAGCTCTCACTAGCCCAGCAAGCACGGAAGACCTTTGTAGAGAACATTGAAGCCAGCCTGACCCAGCATCCCTTGGCGAACTGCCCGAATCTGGAGGAAGATCTCCCTCCAGACCTCCTCCTCAAGGTGCTGGAAGTGCTAGATCCTGACAGGGAGCTGGAGGACACGTGGGCTTATTGTGAGGGCGCCAAGGAAAGAAAGAAGGCCCCCACACACCCGTGTGAAGAACATCCTGAGGAGGTCAACCTGGAACCTCCTGGGGCACTGAACCTGGAACCTCCCCAGGCAGTCAACCTGGAATCACCCTGGAAGTTGAAACTGGAACCTCCCGAGGAGGAACCTGAAGAACAAGCCCACGTGGAAACGGCCAAGGAGAGTCTTCTGTCATATTTATTCAGTTTGTTTCCAAAGGAAGACACAAATGCAGCAAGCACAACAGATATCCCCAAAGATCCTGTTTTCCAAAAAGCAAGAAGAACAATTCGTGAATTCTGCAGATGGATCAATGATAAATTTGGAGACATAGGCATTGATGAAGAGTCCATCATGAAAAAGTTTGAAATTAACTTTGAGGGCCCACTCACCCATAATACAGTCAAAATAAAGAAAATAAACCAGCTTCCTTCGAATATAAGGCCCTGCAAACAGCTAGATGAAATAAAGCAGAGAAAATTCTCCCTGCAGGAAGATGACTGGGAAAGGAAACTCCGCAAACGACAAGACCCTTATAAACCCAAACGGGAGAAGATAAGGTATGGAGCATGGTACCTGGACCCCAAATGCTGGAAAAAGCTGGTCAATGACCAGCCTTTTCCTAACCCTAAAGCCGTCCATGACAGGGAATATTGGACCTATCGAAGGCATCTTGAACCAGACGTTATTGATGAACTTTATGGACCAATTGCCTTCAAAGATTTCATTGTAAGCAAGGGCTACAAGATGCCAAGTGTGATTGAGAAGATGTTTTTAAGGAAGGGATGGAAATATGAGTCTGTAAAGACTCCTATACACCGTGTAATGAAACTCCTCTCCAAACCCAAAGAGGATGATTCAGGGGACGAAGAGGATTAGACAATTTTATATTTACTACTCACTTGGCTAGTGTCTCTCTCTCTCTCTCATTTTAACATCAGTCAGAATTCACCATGAGTGCCTCAATGTGTATGGACAACTTTGATTCCACAACATCTATAAATTTAACACCTAGTGCTAATAAAAATTTCTAAATGAAAAAAAAAACAAACAAAAGAAAAAACAAGATAGAAACTTTGCAGGCTAGAAGAGGTTGACAAGAAATATTCATTTATGAAAAGCAAGAATTTACAATCAAGATTATTTTACCCAGCAAAGCTATCCTATTCTATATACTAAAACCCAGCGACCAAAATGGTGGAACGACCAGAACGACCAGAGACCAGAACACCACAGCCCCTAGCCCAGGCTGGCCCCGCCACCCCAGGGAGCGGTTAGAGGTGCCCCTAAGCAATGCAATAGGGTGTGAGTTTGATAGGGGAAAGTTGAAGAAAAGGAGGGAAGGTCTTAAGGGACTGTGGGGTTGGGGTGGTCAGCCTGTAGTAGGTTTGGAGTGTTCTGGGGAAGGAAGAGGAAGATCTGATTGGAAAATGGCTCAGCACAGTACCTTTCTCGTTGTGAACCAGGACAGCACCAGCCATGGACTGAATGGGTGGTTGTTTCATGAGTGCACTTGGGACCGACATGTTCATGGCAGTGGCAGTACTCCTGAAACTTCACTGATTCCAAATAGTAAACAGTTAGCAACATCAAAGAACAGAAAAATCCTCTCCAACTAGAGGTCCTGGACATTGCAATGGGACTGAAGGAAACACCACTTAAGGAGGAGCTAGAAAAACCAGAAGTATGTGACCAGAGGATTGTGGGGTTGTGGAGTATGCCTGGGTGCCTACTGCTAGAATGTGAGCCTATTATTGTGCATGTACATAGTCAGCCCTATAGTCCTCAGTCTCACAGTATTTGGACGTGACTTCTGGCGGGAAATTATTTCAGTTGAGATTTGCTGTTCCGTTGAGGTGAAGAAGATCGGAATTAAAGGTTTCGTTTATTACCTTGGTTTGAAGCGGAGGAAAATGGGATAGTGACAAATAAGAAACTTTGGAGATAGTGAAGGACAGTTTGTCCAGACTGTTGAGAGCTCAGAATTAGAGTTTAATTGGGATTAAAATCCTCCTAATAGCACCTGATCCTTGAAATCTGAGCACTCTACTTTTAGGTTTTCCAGTCAAGTTTTTGGAGACTGCCTATTAAAGCATTCCTGGTTGGAAAGTGTTTGTATAGAAGCCCGTAAGTTTTAAGTATTTGCTGTATTTACCATGCTTTGCTCTCTGTAAGGAAAATGGAATAATATTAAATGCCTCATGTTCTCCAGAAGTTTGAATTTTAAAATAAAAAATAAAGAAGAAATATAAATATTAAAAATAAAACAGAAGAAGCTTGAGCTTTAGGGGCAATCAGACAGGCAGGCTAGCAATTAGGGGTGATCAGGCTGGCAGGCGAGTGGTTAAGGGCAATCAGGCAGGCAGGCAAGAAGTTAGGAGCCAGTGGTCCCAGATTGCAAGAGAGATGTCTGACTGCTGGTTTAGGCTCGATCCACAGTGGGATCAGGCCTAAACCAGCAGTCAGACATCCCCCAAAATGTCCTGGATTGTGGGAGGGTGCAGGCCAGGCTGAGAGACACCCCCCTAACCCCCATGCATGAATTTCATACACTGGGCCTCTAGTCATTTATAATCAAAGAACATATAAAGAACTTTCCGGTCAAGAGAAAACTAAAAGAGTTCATCACCACCAAATCAGTATTACATGAAATGTTAAAGTGTCTTCTTTAAGAAGAAGAAAAAAGTTAAAAATATGAACAATAAAATGGCAATAAATGCATACCTGTCAACAATTGAATCTAAAAAAACTAAATAAACAAACAGAACAGAACAGAACAGAAACAGATTCATATATACAGAGATCATTTGACAGTTGCCAGATGGGAGGGGATTTGGAGTAATGAGTGAAAAATGTGAAGGGATTAAGAAGTACAAATTTGTGGTTACAGAATAGCCATGGGGATGCAAAGTGTAGCATGGGGAATATAGTCAATAATATTCTAATAACTATGTATGGTGTCAGATGGGTGCAAGATTTATTGGAAGTTGGATAATGTTAATCATTAGAGGGTACACCTGAAATTAATATAGTGTGTTAACTGTAATTGAAAAATTAAAAAAAAGATTTAAATTAAAAAAAAAAGATAAATCCCCATCACCAAGGAGCTCTCTGTGGGACTCTCCCTTGAGCCACAGGAATGACAACATGATTTCCACTTTCCACCCAATGATGCTTATAAAGGCAATTTGAAGTCTAGTCATACAGCTGGCACACACAAAACCACTGGAGCACTTTGGGGCCTGCTCACGTGTCAGGACCGGGGATGGGACCAGCTGCCATTACCACCTGGCATTGAGCCTGTGCTTTCTAAGGATAGCACCACCAGCTGCCTTTTCACCCATCAGAGATGGTCCAGATGCCAGGTCTCCACATCCTCTTGGCTGGCACCTGGCCTGATGAGGCTGCTGGATTTAGCAGCTTAGATTCAGGTGGGAGTTAATTCTCAACATCAGCTTTGCAGCTCTAACCGTATACAAAATTGCATTCTTGAGGTTGGTCACCAAAGGGTCTCTCCTTTAAAAGTGGGACATTTTGTTCCATTGACTTTTGACCAAAACTGAACCCACTTCTCCCAACCCCTTCTTTTTATATTCTCCACCTCATTTTTTAAAAAGAAGACCCCCTCCATGCCCCCCCTATTCAGGTGAAATAGGTTTCTTTGATTTGAACTCCTTCAGTCTCAGTTTAATTTTC